ACACCAGTAGTGCTCAATGGCATTACTAAAAAAAATTCCCGAAGCCCTAACGCTTCAGTTTATCGAGATTCTATTGGCAGAGACGGCAAAACTCCTATAATTCACGAGCAATTTCCATGAATGTTGTGTTCCACTCGTCCGAATTAAAGAGAGGCAACAAAGGAAGCAATTAATAAAATTTGTCAATTATTGATCTTTAGTCGGACCAAATATAATTTTTTTGCTTTTAATTTTTAAATATGCAATTAATAAAAAAAAAATTCAATCTTTTGATTGTTAATTGATGTTTCCTGTGTTTAGTTGGAAAGAAGTTGGAAATGCACTTGCTACTTGCTAGTGGGAATTGACTGTGACTACTAGCTACTATGTGCGATAAATGACTCTCTCAATGCCCTCAGTTTTCAAACACTAGTGTCTATGGCATATAAAATGTTGACAGTTCATTGTTCTATCAGATTTGGTGGGTCTGCTTTCAGTAAAATTCTACCATTAGTTTTTCATCCCCGCTAATCGCGCCAGAATTTACATTCAACAACAACCCACGTCCCCACCACAACACTAACCCCGAACCACACAAATAAAAAGATATTGTTTTCAAATTGCTTTTGTTTGGTATGTTATTTTTAAAAATAAATTTTCGAAAATAAGGTTAAACTTATAATATAAAATTCAAAACGTATTTTTGACGTTTTGAACGTTTTTAATGAAAACTCTGGAAACACTAAAAATATGAGAAAAATGTTATAAATAAAATTCTAAAAAATTATTAGAAAAATAAAAGTTGTAAAAATTAAAAATTAATTATGTGTACTGACAGTTTTTATCTGTGTTCATTTAATTATATAAATATTTTTTTAAATTTTATGTAAATAACCATTAACTGCTTGGATATTTATTATTTCATATATTTTTCCAACTCAATTTATTATTAATTTTTGTTTTACTCTTGTAGAGAAAAAAATATTGTAAGATTTATCAATTTTAAAATGTATATATTACTTGATTATATATTAATATAAAATTATTCTATTTTATTGAATAATTAAATTTCATGAAATAAAATGTCATAAAAAAATTCTTAAAATTTAAATCCAAACGTGTTTTCTAGTTTCTATTTTGGGAAATAGCTTTTCGAAATGTCAAACAAAATGCATTTTTTAACAATCTTAAAATAACCATCAAAATAGAAAAATGAAACGCAAGCTAAACGAACCCTAAAGGTAAACAAGAATAACATCAACTTCTATTCAATCATTAATATTTCTTACTAGCAATCAATTAATTTTATCATTGCTTCTTTTTGTAATCTCTATATAAAAATGTCAAAAGTAGAAAAGTAAAAATTGCGAATTACCCACAAAAAGTGATAAAGATGGGACCATCTATAAGCGTGTTGCCACTAAACAAAGCATGTTAGATTAGTAAAATACTATAATTAAGTAATTAATACATGAGATTATACCATAACTTCCGGACTCGACTTGGAAGTGCTTGCGCCACGGTCTCGTTCGCTTCACATCTTTGTTCATTATGATTGCTTCCGTGGATGGCCCTGTCCCCGAGTCAACGACCCTAACTTCACCAAAACAACAAAACAAACCAACTAAAAAAGCCTATTGGCTCAAACAACAAGAGAACTAAAGAAACCTAATAGAAAACCAAACAAAACCTAAACAAGCCTAATAATACACTTAAAGTCACTTGCAAAACCTGTAACCCACCACAAAAAATCATCTACGAATATAAGAAACACCAAGGCGATCCAACCGAGTAAGACCCCGTGCAAAAGGAGGGAGCTCCCGTTCCGAAAAATATCCCCATGTAAGACCTTTCGAACCTAACTTGGCCAACATATCGGCCACTTGGTTCCCTTCCTTGAATTGATGAGCAGCGTGTATCTCAAAGTGAGAAAATTATAGCTTCTTTGACATTCTTTGCTCGTGATCTAGTTATTATTAGCGGATCTTGGCTAGCTCTCGTAATATGGATCTCATTATTACCTACATCTTCAAAATGATTCGTCCTCAAATCTCCACTTGCATCAATCGAGGAGAGATCAGAAACATTGAAAGTAGCAGAAATGTTATACTAACCTGGAAGGTCCAACTTATAGGCATTGTAGTTGATCTTTTCAAACACTTGGAATGGTTCATCGCTTCACGATTTCAACTTTAACTTCCTTTAAGCCGAAAAATGCTACTTTCTCATATGCACCCAAACCCAATCTTTTGGTTAAATGTAACGCGTTTTCGTCTCTTATTTTCTTAAGAAACATAATGCTCATTTTTCTTCTCAATCTTGCACCGTACCTTTTCATGGGGGGGTCTTACCAACTTGGTCTAATTCTTTCCATCTAAACTACATCTCTTATCAATAGGTAAAAGAATTAAATTCAAAAGTGTTAGTGGATTAAAATCATAAACAATTTCAAATGGAGTATAAGATGTAATAGATTGCGTGGCCCTATTATATGCAAATTCTACTAACGGGAAGCAATCCTTCCAACTCTTCAAGTTCTAATTGACTATAGTGTGTAGTAGTTGTATCATAGTCCTGTTAACAACCTTAGTTTGCCCATTCGTTTGTGGATGACAAGTTGTAGAGAATAATAGTTTAGTTCCCGAATTTTGATATGTGGTCTAAACCTAAAACTCACTTATCGACTCGCAATACATTCATAAAATCATTGAATTATTGGCCAAATAATTTAAAGTATCAAGATGCATAAATAAAATCAACACATGAAGAACTAGAATCTTAAAAATTAAGTGAAAGGGTTACACATAGATTAAATTATTTGTCCTAACTAATGATCTAATTACTCATATTAATGAAAGAAAAAAAAATTGAGTTTATAATAGAATTTTGAAATCTTGATCTTGGAAAGAATGGAATCTTGCACCAAAAATCTTCTTCAATTTCAAAAGTTTTCAAATCATAACTTTTTGCTAATTGATCTTGATGATTACGTATTTTTCTTTCTCCAAAATTGAACATCCTAAAAAGAATGAATAATAATAATAATATATAGAAGTCTCTATTTAGAGTTCTAAAGCATCTTGAATTTGAGTGTAATTAGGAATTCAACAAAAAGCTGGATTTTGTTATAGTTAAATGCACTTTGATCCTCCACATTAAGTTCTTGTACATCCCAAGTCCTTTTTATTTGCATGATAGGTCCTCATTTTCAAAACTTGATTATTTTGATTCTCAAAATCACAAATTTGTACCTCATCAATTCAATTTTATCCAAACTTGTCCAATCCGAATTTTACCTACAATTAACCAAATTTAACCTAAATTAAGTAGATATCCGCTCAAAATAATAATAAATTAAGAAGCAATGAAACCTGAATAAGCGCATAAAATACATTTATTAGTGGCGTTTTGGTGAGGAAGTCTTAATTTCGACTTAAGGTAGGAAGTCCACGAGGTCGGACCACTTTTCGCTAGGGGTTGGAACTGAATCCCCAGACTCAAGGACATTTTAGTGATATATTTTGACCTCGTTAACCATCATTTAGGAAATCCTAAGTAGTGAAGTTCCCAGTTTTTATTTTGATTAGAAAAATGGAATTGATATTTAGATCGAGCAGATAGACTTTTGGTGATTATGCACATGAATAGTTAAAATATGAAAATAGAAAGTGGGACTTCACGCAGTGAGCCAACCACACTAAGAGCTTGTTTGATGGAGATTTTTGGGGGAAAATTTGATTTTTGAATAGTGATATGATGGGAAATGTGTAGTGTAGTTGAAAATGAAGAAAAAATTATTGATGTGATGAAAAATATTATTTTATTGAAAAATGCGTGGTTAAAAATGAGAATTGATTTAATGTAAAATTTGAGAATAAAAAACAAACAGGCCATAAATAAGTTTCTTTCAATTATTTACAAAATATTAATTTTTTCTGTGGGCCTGGTGCCTGTCAGATAAGATTATACACATAATTTTCCCAAACAAGTCAGTTAAATTTATGACACATAATTAACACCTGCACCAACTTACTTTGAATCTTTTTTTAACCTAAATGATACTTGTACATGGAAAGTGCACAGACAGTTTTACATATATTGAGATGAAAACACATGATTAATTATTTTAACTATGTTTTTTTGTCCAAAATTCAATAAAATTTTGTCATGTGGCATTTAGTAAAATCATTTGTGCATTTTCCCTTGTAGATGTAGCTTTGCTCTTAAGATAAAATTAGCCAATAACCACAGTGGAAATTGAGTTCAATTGCATTCTAATTATTCCCCAGATTTATTTATTTTTTAAAAGGAAAGTTTTTGGCTAATGAGCCCCATCTTGATAAGCATGCAAAATGGGGGGGATTGAGTGTGGGGTCCCCAGCAATATTGGTACAGTGAAAAAGTTAGTTGTACCCCTCAATCTTCGTATTGGACAATATTTAGAGGGCACATGTTGTGTGTACTCAGTGTTGCTATTTTCTCATGTCCAACAAATTCCACAATCCACGCATAATTAATCGCCCCCACTTTTCCTCCTCCTCCTTTTTTTTTTCTTTTTTGCCTTTATTATTTCCCTTAGTCAATATACCCCAAACCCAGCTAAAGGAGTGACTCTATTTATTACATATATTTGATCATTTACTTATTTATCAAACATGAAGGACTCTTAACATGATTGGGAAAAAAAAAATAGTTATTTATTTAATTCAATGTGTCAAATATGTACTAGAAGTGATTTGAGTTATGTGACATAGATAATGTTAATATAGTGCCTAGACAGACATATTGTGGAGACAACCTAATTGAACAGATGGACACTTTTTTTGATTTGTGGATGGGACCCAATCTTCTCCAATACTTCTGTACCCATTTGCACCAAATCAGTGGAAAATTTGTACATACCCAACCCACCCACCTAGAAAGAGAAAAGTCTTGAGTCTCTATATAAAGGTACAACCACGGCAAGTTCACTCCATCTCCAACTGTACAACCAGCAGCAGTATTCATTTCCCTATCCTTCAATGGCTTACTCAGCCAATAATTTTACCCTCTTCCTTCTCATTTCCCTCTTATCCACGTTTCATTCCCATGCAAGAGACAGCCAACTCTTTAACAAAGTTCCTAGCACCACCACCACCACCACCACCAATGTCCCATACAAAGAAGACCCTCTAAGCGGCCAAGACCAGGAACCAAATTTCCTTCCACAAAATGAAAATGGCTATGGTCTTTATGGTCACGAGTCCGGTCAACTCCCGCCTTCCACCACCACCACCTCGACACCCTCCGCCACCACCACTACCAAGATTCCATACAACACTAAATCAGAAAAACCCCTTAACAAGTATCTCCCGAAAAACTACAACCCTGTGGCCTACGTGACTGTACCAGAAGACAAAAACAACGGCAACAGTTTCACAGAAGAAAGTTACAACACCAGAACTAACAACAACAACAACTACTATAATGGTGGCGATAATTTCAATGAGCGGCCACAAGGGCTGAGCGGCACCAGGTTCACCGGCGGCGGAAGTTACTCCACCACCCCAAACAACCGTGAGAATTACTATAACAACGGCGGCAGACCTAACAACTTCGGACCTCAAGGATTGAGTGACACAAGATCAATGGAGAATGGAAAATTCTTTTATGATGTCAACAGTGAAAAATATAGCAGCAACCACCCATATGAGAGCTTGAAAGGAGTTCGTGCAAGAAATGAGTACAACAACAAGAATTATTATGGGAACAACGAGAATTCATATGAGTATAATAACAAGTACTCCGTGGAAGGACATTTTCAAGATGAGTTCCAAAATGAAGAGGATATGCCATGAAATTTGAGTGAGCAAAACTGAAAATGAATTTTCTCAATCATCAATGGTGGTTTTCAGTATGAAATTTTATGGATAATAATTATTAATAGAGCAAAAGTGTAAGTGTAGATTTTTATTTATGTGTTTTTTATACTTCCGTTTTCAAAAATTGGATTATGAGCTATGATTTTCTATTGTGTGATAGACAATTGAATGAATTATGTTTTAAAAGAGTGAGCTTTTTGTGGTGTTGGAGTCTACAAAACAAGAAGCACTAGAGTAGTTGACCTCTAGAGATGATCGATTTCAATCCGGTATTAATTTTGTATTTAGGAAATTAAAATAGTCTAACAACGCACCTCAAGTTAGTGTTCTATGAACAATCCAAGTATGATAATTAATTCTCAAAAATTCTTTTATCAAACAAGCTCTTAGTGATCGAGAAATGAAACTTTGTAATTCATATTAAGATTAAGCAAGTTTTGCAATGAATTTGTACAATTAGTTTAAAAATGTGAGGTGTAAAATTTTTCAAATCAATAGTCAGGATCTCTTTACGCTTCAGCAATGTCAATCAAAACGGCAACCAAAAATGTATGCGTAGCGGACTTGTTCATATTAAACCCATGTTTGATAAGGATTAAAATTTCGATTTTAATCTAAGTCAAAATCAACAATTAATTTTAATCATAAATCTGTAGATAAGAACTCAGCGGCCTAGATACATCATTGAGTTGTTCGATAAGAGATTGAACCTCTTAATCATGACTATTGACTAGCAATAGTGTAAGGCATATAATTATTCAAGGAGTGAGTATGCAATGGTTAGATTATGAAAAACGAACATGTCACCCTAGTCAACACGGAATACAACTCGAGCTATTAAATAAATAATTTAAATTTAAACTATATATTGCACAAGGCAAAGAAGAAAATGTGCAACATGCATTCTTTAATTTGTTAAAGAATAAAATGTAGACTGGTGTGGCTAATTATGAAGAATAATTACTTTAATAAAGTTTGTTGACCTACCAAAAACAAAAAGTGGAAATAGTTTGATTACTAATTGGCGGGTTCGGTAATTTCGGTCGCTACATTAAAGAATCAAATGATGTGAGGAAGGGTCTTCTGCATAACTTTTGTCCTTCGCTTTCTAGGACCAATGATCCTAGTTAGGTGCATGTTTTCCTAAGTTTAAAAATATTTACTTATAAGTAATAAGTGAATTTCAAAATAAACCAATAAATAAGTTTTGTAGGTTAATGGAGACTTCTTGTGATCAAGACAATCATTAAACTATGGGAAGGTTTTTTATATCATTTTTTCAAAAGTAATAAATAAAGAAAACACACTACATATACAGAAATTCTGTCCAAATTCAAATTAATGGACGATGCATACCATGCATGTATCTGTCAACCTATCTATATAAAATCAGATGTAATGTAAATAAAGTAGTCGGTCACTGTAAAAGTAAATTAAAGAATATTTCTTTATCTTAATTATCAACAAGTTTTGCTGTCTTTTTTCTTTTCTTCTTTTGAGGTAGAACTACTCATAAAAGCTACAGAGCAAAATCTACCAACTTCGTGTTCCTCCATTATAATTTTATTTTGGTCCATTTTATATATTAACTTTCATATTTTTAATATTCTTTCTTTATCTGCTTGTATATTTTTACTCTTAAAAAAATTGCAATAAATAGCACTATAAAAAAAATTAATATATATTAATCTGTAATTATCGGATTTAAGATTTTGAACACGGCATTTATTTTAGTTTATTTTATTTATTTATTATTTATTTTTCGTGCACTCTGTCTCAGACATTGGAGATAGAGTCATGATGCTTGTCATTGTCAATGGAGTGCCCAATTGTAGATGCGTGTTGAAGATAGCTATTTCAACGAGTCGAGTCGAGCCAAGTCCAAGCAGAAAATAAAAAGCTCGGACACGGCTCGAGCTGTTTTGAGCCCGAGCGAAGTAAAGCCCGGCTAAAAAAAATGAGGCTTGGCCCGTGCCTGAGCGGGCCGAGCCGACTTGGATTTTTTTTTTAAAAATTAATTGAAAATAGCTGCCTGCAAATGTAGCATGCTGCTGCCTGCCTGCTTGCTTGCTGTTTTCACCTGCCTGCAAAGGCAGCCTGTGCAATGACAGCTCTTTTTTTAAAAAAAAATTAATTTTTTTTTAATAATGGGCAGGCTCGCCCTGGCCACGGGCCTGCCCCAGGCTCGAGTCGACGCCCCAAAATGGGGCTCGGCCTGAGTCGGGCCCGACTCGAATTTTTTTCGAACCAAATCCGAGTCGACGAGTTTTTTTGCCATCTCTAGTTGAAGATGCATTGCTCTATTTGGTACACATTCTTTTAAAATATATTTTTTCAAAACTAATTTTCAATCACACATTTTTCAATAAAATAATATTTTCTATCACATCAATAATTTTTCCTTATTTTTTAACCACATATTTCTCATCATATCACTATATAAAATACACACCCTTGATGAATTAATAATTGATATAAATAAAGAAATTGGAAAACTCAAAAGTAGAAAACGGTGGCATTGGCAATTTTCTTCCGCAGATAGCGGGACAGGCAAATCTTCTCTACACCTTTAAATGTATTCAGACCAGACTTGAGATTAAACATTTCAAGTACTTTGATTTTCATTTTCCTTGATTTTATTGTTTATTTTGAATCATGAATGACCTTAAAAAACCACTTTTTTTTTTTGGGAGACGCCAGTTCGGCTACAACAATTTTTATTTGTGTATCCTTACAAGTATTCAAATATAAATAGCAATAGAGGAATAAAGTGAATTAACAAGTACATGTAGAGTATGTTTATAGTATAAAGAAAGTTTATAATTTTACTTCAGATGATTCTTGTTGATCTAAAAAAAATGAATAATA